AAACCCACAGAGACAGCAGAGACAGACAACGGAGACAGCTTGGGGGAGACACTGCAGCAGCAGCAGCAGCAGCAGCAGCAGATGCTGCTGCTGCTGCTGCTGCTGTAGCTTCTCCTCCAGCAGCAGCTGCTGCAGAACTTTCAGCATCTGCTGCGAGCCCGCAGAAGCAAAAAGGCAGACGGACACCGGCTGGCAGCAGTGCTGCTGCTGCTGCTGCTGTTGCTGCTGTTTCTGCTGTTGCTGTTGCTGCTGCTCTTCCTGCTGCTGCTGCTGCTGCTGTTGCTGCTGCTGCTCCAAGCGGCTTGCAGCTACTGGGGTTGTCGGCGCCCCTAGGCGGAGAGATGGGGGGGCCCCCCTCTAGGGGGCCCCCCGCGTCTGAACACGAAGGGGGGCCCCCGCTGCTGCCTGGGGGCCCCCTGAGGTTTGCTGCTGCTGCTAGCGGCTGCCATCGATGAAACACAAAAGAGGAGACAGGCGGCAGCCAGTCAGCAGGGAGAGGGTTCTCGAGCTTTCGTTTGCTGCCCCTTTGCTGCTGCTGCTGCTGCTGCTGCTGCTGCTGCTGCTGCTGCTGCCGTCGCTGCAGCTGGTGGTGTTTCTGCTGCTGTTGCTGTTGCCGATGCTGCTGATGCTGTTGTTGTTTCTGCCGCGTCTGCTGGTGCTGTTGCTTCTGCTGCTGCTGCTGCTGCTGCTGCTGCTGCTGCTGTTGCTGCTGCTGCTGCTGCTGCTGCATGCATAGCCAGCTGCGTATTTGCATGCGTTCTAAGATCGGCTCCGCGAGGGCCTCAGTGAACGTCTCGGGGGCGGGGAGGAGTGGATCCCAGGCTTGCTGTCCTGCTGCTGCTGCTGCTGCTGCTGCTGTTGCTGCTGCTGCTGCTGTTGCTGCTGCTGCTGCTGGTGTTGCTGCTGCTGCTGCTGCTGCTGCAGAGACTCCTTTGTAGAAAGTGAGCCGCTGCAGCGCAGCAAACTGCCACGGAGACACCCGGAGCGTCACCTCCCGCCCCACACCCGAGGGGCCCCTGCAGCAGCAGATGTGGGGCCCCGCAACTTCTGCTGCTGCTGCTGCTGCTGCAGTTGCTGCTGCTGCAGTTGCTGCTGCTGCAGGATCAGCTGACCGCTGCAGCCGCTGCTTCTTCTTACACCTGCTGCACTGCACGGGGGCCCCTGCTGGTGAGAGATAGGGGGCCCCCAAGGGGGCCCCCAGCGGGGAGAAGAGGCTGCCTTGTATGAGGCATATACACTCTGAGGGGGCCCCGGGTACTGGGGGGCCCCCCTCTGGGGGCCCCCCAGTACCTTCTGCTGCTGCTGCAGCAGCAGCAGCAGCAGCAGCAGCAGCAGAAGGCAGAACGACGCAGCATTTGCTTCGAAGGAAAAAGAAGAAGCAGCCGACGGAGACAGCAGGAGGAGACAAAGGAGACAGAGGAGACAGAGGAGACAAAGGAGACAGAGGAGACAGAGGAGACAGTGTGGGGTGGTGCGCTGCATGCGTGACGCGGATTGCTGCTGCTGAGGAGACAATGAAGGAGACAAATCCCACACAAGGAGACACATGCATGCATGCAGAAGTACAGGCTGCTGCTGCTGCTGCGGCGGGGATAGATACACGCTTTAAACAAACTTGTTGCTGCTGCTGGTGCTGCTCTTGCTGTTGCTGCTGCTGCTGCTGCTGCTGCTGTTGCTGGCGGTGGTGGTGGTGTGGCCGATGCCTTTGTTTCTGCTGCTGGTGCTGCTGCTGCTGCTGCTGCTGCTGATGCAGCTGAAGACCCCACCCTGTCTTTCTCTTCCGGGGTGTGTTGCTGCTGCTTGGGTTAT